CTGCAATAATTAACCCTCTAATAGGCCGAAGGAACACCATTTGCATTGTAAATTTTTTGACATGTAATTTATTAAACCACCAAATAAAGAAATAAATAAAAATAGAGTCATAAAAAGAAAACTGGTAAAAAGTATATTTTATCTTTGAGAAGTTTTTCGTAATTTCAGAGTCGTTTTATTAGGGCATTTCTAGAATCATGAATCCACTAGGGATTAAAAATAATTACCTACAAAAGCAGCAATCGAGATAAAACATCCGGAGTTTTCAATATTGCAGTACGTTATATTGGTCAGGCAAACAGGTTATTCAGCGAACGAATTAAAGAGCACAAGAAAATGCCAATATTTCAACTTTCCCAACTATGAAATATTTCTTCATCGTTACAGTACTTCTTTTCGTAAAAATTTCATTAGTTTCAAATTCTCCCTCGGCTTTCCCATCTCATACCAAAACTAGTACCTACGTATTTAAGAATATTTGTATGTACTTACTGTTAAGTTCTTTCTGTTTAACGTTTTCTTTGTTAGTGTTGTATTCTCTATTGCTATAAAAACAGTATCAATACACTTGGAAAATTTAAGCTCAATCGGGAAATGGAAAGTGGGTGAAAAAATCGATCCTAACTAACTGTTGAAGCCAAATTAATTTTTTTATACTTCGCGTCCTGCTGATTAACGCTTTATTATTGCGGGGCCTCTTTTCTAATTTTATTTTATTTTAGTTTATATATTGCATTGTTATCGACATTACATGTGTGAAAAAATTTATCCTATTTTTACTTACTACAATTACCACAGTTGAATCCCAATAATAAATAAAGTAATGCCAACAATATAATAAATATCTTGGTTAAAAAGAAATTATATTTCCAAATATTAAAAATAAAAAACGTTCCCTACAAATGCATCCTTCCAGTACTAATATTTCTGTATAAGGATTTCAGTCACAATTCAATCTTGAATCATTAATATTCAACGAGAAAGTTTGTACGTTGTATCACACCTACCATTTACTTTAATGTTGATTATATGTTAACTGATAATTAACAGAGAATAGCCCGCTTGATTAAGTAGTTACTGGTTTAATTAGTACCACGTTTTATAGTCGCATTAGTGGTAGTTTGTGAACCAAACCGGACCCGTCTTTTGATTAGTAAACCCATCTTACTTATTATAATGAAGCTATACAACATTTATGTAACATCCTCAGGTAGATTATTTTTAGCAGGAGCCCCTTTTTCGTTAACTAAAATTTACCACCACTGTCCGAATCCTTGCGTGCCGTAGGAGCCGCAGCTACTGTTTAGTAATGATCTAAATACGTGCAACAGTTAGTTCATCTTTATGATCACTGTGTAACATGATGGTGACTACACTGACTTTCCTGCATGAAGGATAATAACTTAATTCAATTGATACTTTATGAAAGAATGACATGTAATAGTGTTAATACATAATATAATTAATTAATAGATAATAATGTTTATTAATTCTTCTAGTCAAAAATTAAAACGATCATATACATCAAGATCGATAAGAATCATTGTTACTTTTTAACTTTTTATAGTCAAGGAGTTATATTACGGAATATAGATATAATTATCCTTTAAAAAAATGATGTCAAATTTCTCACGATAACTATATAATTGATGCTAAGCATTTTAAAATGATGAAAATTTGAAATCTTTTTCTATCGTTTATTCTATTATTGTTAAAGCTATTTTAATATATTTTAAAGTGCATTTGCGTCTATTATATTTACCTTGAATAAAAACCAGTAAAAAAAATATTAGTTAGCTGTAAGATAAAACAAGTAAAAGAGAAAGCGAGCTTTGAAAGCTCTATTAGTTGAAGCAGCTGTATTATACGTTGATGCAGTCCTCATTCGATAAAGTTATAGAAGTTAAGAAAATAAAAATTTATTTAGTAAGTAGCTTTTTAAAGAGGTTGAAACGTTTTTGCTTTCTTCATTTTAAAAATTTACAGATATCATTGCACATCAGTAAATTTTCGTCAGAAGATCATCTTAACTGGGGTTGCAATCCGTCCGGGTTTCCCCGGATTTGTCCTAGTTTAGAGGGCATCCGGGGAGCGTCCGGGGGGGTCTTCATTTGTAGTCCTGGTTTAAAAATTTAGTCTTAAAAAAAAGTCTTGGGCCGCCCGCCACACACGTAAAAGAAATCTAACTGATTATTAAAACAATTTGTAACAAACTGTAATAAGATTCTGTTTTGTTAGGTACATTGAAAATGATGATAAAGAATGACTAAATTTAATTTTAAGGTCTGACAATAAACAAAAGGGTGATTTATGACATTTTCAACTGTTTTTGGTTACACTGATTATGTTTAAAAAAACCTGTTGACATGTCCGGGTTCTGGACTCTAAAATCCGGGGTTTTCATGCGTCTTGTCCTGGTTTCCAAATTTTAGAGATGGCAACCCTAATCTTAATAGTCCTTTGATGCAGTTCTCATAAAAATGCATGCTAATTTGTTTATTAAATATTTCTTGAAATTTAGCAAAGATTTTTTGAAATAAATGATTGTTATTTTGTCTGCGATATTCTTTTGTATGACAAACATATATGTTTTATTTAAATTATTGTTGTACCTAAAGAAAATTGTAAAAATACGAAAATGGAATGTTACTATATTTTTCACAGAGATTAAACACCTATAAAAACAAATACACTTGTACATTTACTTATTGTTAGCGACTTAAGCGTGACAGGACAACCTCATGGTACAATAAATAAAATTCTGCTGACTATCCGTCCTTTATAATAAGGCCTTATTCAAAATAAACCTCTTTTCTCGAAAGTTACAGCCGAGGACCGGATGGAACAAAACAAAAAACACTTAATGTGTAGGTACCAAGCACCGTACGCCCCCCATAGCCACCCTGATGGGACATCCGACTTTATACGCATTGAAAGCAAAATACAGAGGATTTATGGTATTACGGACCTTACTTTGATGCAGATTGGTTTTTGTTAAATAAATGGCCGATTCGAGGAAGTGACAAAACCCGAACAAGTTTTAAACACAGCGGGATACGAAACTATAGACTGGCATCGCTTTGTATATATAGGATAGTAATATTCACTTCTGGTATTAATAGTCGATAGATATTAAGTATCGTAAATCAACACCCAAAATAGCTAAATACGAACGTATTTATTGCATGGATTTTAAGAAATTCAACTTTTCACTGCGACTTATCCGAACTATTGAAAATCTGTTCTTAAAATGCATAGGAATGGTATTGAAAAAAAAAATGATTATGAAAAATCAGACACGAAAGAAAAATTTTGAACCAAATCGGAAAGATGATTAATCACTTAATTGATTAATTAAGGTAATCGCCAGACATACCGATTCTACGTTAAAAATAATTGGATTTCTTATAATTTACCTATATTTAGAATTTAACTTTAAATTTTCCATAGATAGAGCCAGGCTAGTCCTAATATCTACATAGAAAGTAAATTTAATTGCAAATATTTTTTTTTTTTGAAAAGCTAAACATAAAAGTTAAATTTTATACTTCTATTTAAATGCTGATATATTTATTTAGTCGGTGTAGAGATACAAAATAATAATTACGCATTTATTTAAACACTGCTTTCAATTACGTATTGAAATAACTTTACCGTGCAGTGCTGTTTCTACCGGCCGGGGTTTGAACTACCCCCATTAGCGAACAGTGCCATTGCCAGGTTATTTAGTATGTATGAAAATCAGATCCGACATTAGTCTTAACATTAACAATTAAACCAAAATGAATTAATGAAAATAGCAGTAGTAACGACATTTTTTTTGTATACCTACGATATATTTATGATACATATTTAGACATGTATCTATGGTGCATTCCTAGTTGGAGATGATTATAAAAGAAATAATTAAATCCTTTTTTGTAATTAAAATGTAATCATCATTCGTCACTCGCACCAGTTGTCTAACGAACCAAGAAGTAGGTACTAAGATAATAAAGGCGTAGCATAGACAGAGTAGGACTTAGCTACTACAAAATGGATATCGGATCAAATAAATTTAATTTGAACCAATTAGATTTGTAAAAATGAATCTTCATAGTAAAATTTAAATAAAATCTATTTTTTTATAGAATAACAATTTTTTACGGGAGTACAATTTATAAATTCAACATAAACCAATGTTTTGCTCAATAAATTTTGAGTTTGTTTTTCGTAGTTATCAAAATGCACACGCGTTACAGTCAGCAGGAGATATAAAATTAGGCTGACGATCCGTATCTATAGTATAAAATTATTGCATTTGTTGTAAACATTGTCGTATTTCCGCAAAAAGCACAAAGTTTCTAATGGAATAAGACATCTCTTTCATTCAATTCCGCAGATTATACAGAACAACGAAGCACATTAACATTATATCTTTATATAAGATAAAGAACAGATTTCATGTTCAGTTCATATGTTTCAACTAAAAGTAACAATCACCAAAAAGCTTCGTGTCTGAAATGCCTTTAATCATACGCTTTGTGCCTAATGAGAAAGGTCCTAAAACCGGTCCTGTCGTTAAATGCTTAAAAGAAGACTTACCTCGTTTCTGCATAAATGAGAAGAGATCGTCAAGGAACTCCTTCCTTTTGGGATCGTCGTTAATTTCGTATAACTGCAAAAGAGAAAGAAGTAATTAATAAGGCCTTCAGCCTTAATAGCGGCGCAAATTAACAACAAATATTTTTATATGGACGCCCATCAGAAACGATTCTCCTTCAGCACCTTCAATTTAACCTTCACGATGAAAAATTGATAAAACGCCCACGCCTATACGATCAGTTATTTATATCGCTTTTTTCTCGTGTTTTTTAGACAATTAATATTGCTTGATGAGCCCCGTCTGTCTAAGTAAGTACCCATCCTATCTGCTACACTCGGTTCTTCTTCAGCTTTGCTCAATCATATACATATAAGATGATTAAAAACCGACCGAGATATATCACGCATTTACAATTATTAATGTCCAAGGAATCATCCACCTCAGTCTAAAGCCGCGAAGACTTACGAACAGAGTGGTTAATATTCTTTCGGACTTGTGGGTTCTGCCGGCGTGATTGTATTCCTTGATACCTATATCAATGTCAGAAATCCAGAAATTTTTAAAGACATTACTTAACTACTGTTACCTTCAAAATAAAATTATCAATAAGGACATTAAGTACAAGCCAAATTAAGGAAGAGCATTAAGTTCTTGATCAGCTAAACAATAAATTTCGAAGTAGATAAATGAAGTCCTCTTGTAATACTTTCTGTTTCTTGAAGAACGCTTAGGATCCCTAGATTTGTCCATGAAAGTCGAAGTATATATTTCAATTCAATAGGCAAACTCATTGGGTAACACTATTTTCATAGTAATTCATTAATTACTATGATTCATGTAGTTTTGTAGCATTTAACTTTTTTAAAGGAGTCCTCAAATCTCCATTGTATACTCATACAAAGGAGTTTGTCCTGACTGAGTGATAATAATCAATACCTAGCCGAAACTATAGGATCGATTTAAATGAAATATTGACAGCACATTGTGACTATCACATAGGAGAGCACTAAAAACGGATTTTGCGAAAATCGCATTTCTAAAGGATTGAATCAAAGCAATACATTCCTTCAAAAACTCAAATATGCACGTAAAAAACGCTAAAAATGTGACTTTTCTGTACGTCGGAGTCTGTTACGCCACATAGGTACTTTTAAAAGATCATCAGTATCGGTGAATCAACTGCTTTTTCCAATGGGATGCACAGTATCGCAGTATTTTAGAAGTAAGTACAATTCTGCGTCAAGACGAAACAAAATCTCCAAAAGTCAATTACGGCTATAACGCTATAACACGGTATTATTAAAATGTTCCAGAAAATTGAAATTTAATATGAAAATTCATATTCAATTTTTAACCACTACAAACTACCTCAGGTAAATGAGGGAAAATTTGCTGATGTTGTCACACCCTCGTCGGGAATCGAATTCGGGACCTTTGACCACTAGTGGTCAGAGCATTGGTGCGTAAAGCCAAAGGTCCCGGGTTCGATTCCCGGCGAGGGTGTGACAACAGCAACAAATTTTCCCTCATTAACCCGAGGTAGTTTATAGTGGTCGAAAATTGAAAATGAATTTTTACATTAATGTTTGATATTAGCCACTATTAAATGTCAAAACGTTTCATATATATAATTAAAATTTCTCATAAACTATTGGCAACAGATGTCAATAACTTTATTAGCAGAAAGGAAATTTAATTTTGCATCATATTATGTGATAAAAAAATATGACGGTCGATTAAAAAAAAAGTTATTCCTATTTGAATTTGTAAATATTGATCATCATCATCATCATCATAAGGTCATCAGTCCTAAGACTGGTTGGACACGTACCTCCACTCTTTCCTATCCTGAGCTAAACTTCATTACGTATTGAAATAACTTTACCGTGCAGTGCTGTTTCTACCGGCCGGGGTTTGAACTACCCCCATTAGCGAACAGTGCCATTGCCAGGTTATTTAGTATGTATGAAAATCAGATCCGACATTAGTCTTAACATTAATAATTAAACCAAAATGAATTAATGAAAATAGCAGTAGTAACGACATTTTTTTTGTATACCTACGATATATTTATGATACATATTTAGACATGTATCTATGGTGCATTCCTAGTTGGAGATGATTATAAAAGAAATAATTAAATCCTTTTTTGTAATTAAAATGTAATCATCATNCTATTCTTTCCAATACCTCTTCATTTCTAACCATTTCTACCCACGATATCCTCATCATCCGCCTATAACACCACATTTCGAACGCTTCTAACCTTTGCTTTTCCGCCGCTCCCACTGTCCATGTTTCGCACCCGTACAAATATTGATATCGATAAATTTTATGGTACATCATTTTTAAGAAGTATGTACCTGTGTACATAATAAAACATGTAAATGATAAGGTACTCCTTTCAGAAAAGAAAAGTGAAAAGCGCATCCCTCAACTGTTTTCGGGGACGATGATTTCAAAGTGGCGCAAAACATTGCAAACGTCAAGTTGGTTGCCCAATTTTTGTTCCATCTTTCGTGCGTAGAACGGGTAATTTGCACTGACTTTCCAAAACGTTACATGCTTTTTTATACGCACATAGGTATAATAATGACAATAAACGTACAAAATAATTGAGCAAATAGGAATAAACCAATGAACAATTGTGTCCAAGTCCGAATGTGCTATCCTCTCATCTGATTTGGTCATGAAAAGTATGCTATTTTTACGGGTAAATACAGAAGGGTTGCTTTTCTCAGAATTTTGTATATTTTTATTAGGCCAAAAAACGCCGTATCTCGCGGAACCTCTGTGACTTTTCCACGGAACCCATTTGGGAACCGCTGCTCTAGATTACGACCATTTTCATCGTTATACGCGATATTAAACAAAATATACTGCTGGGGCGAAGCCCTGAGGGATAACCGCTACTTATGATATAAAACGAACAATCACAAATTGACTAAATTACAGAAAATATAGTATTCCATTGAAACTTTTTCGCAGAATTTTCTCACGGTCAAATAGAAGATGGTTTACAAAATAATTTATTCTAATGTTAATTGCAGTTCCTGTAGAGACGTGGCAGACCGTTGGCCAGTTCAACCAACGGTATAGTTCAACTGCAGCCGTAAATTCGTAAGAATTAAACAGTTACTAAATAAATTACAATTTTATTAACGAATCCCTTGTGTTGCACACACGATTACGTTTTACAGAATGTGTAATTGTGTTCATTACGTATTTGTTTGGCGTTATGATTTCTCTTCCGTCCAGATATTTTGTCGTATTAGAGTTGCAGTTGTGGCGTGACCCGAAACGTCGCGTTCCCATGAAGAAGATGCATAAGTTCCACGTTTCAACTCTCCGGTATAGTTCGAAAGAAGTGTTGTAATCAAGTTGAATTCGTGTCCGACATAGGGCATAATAGTCGATTCATGTTACTGTTACAACTAAATGGTGTAATGAGCGTTCACATCATGTTTGCAGTACCTCCAGTCCGCGTCCCTCTTTTATGATAATGGGAAATTGAGAAGAAATCTCAACGATAATATTTCTCCGTTAACGACAATTACGTCGGGAAATTTTACACTTTTACACATGTACATATGCATTCCTTCGCAGTTTATAACCTCTACACAACACATATTGTACGTACCTACTTAAATTAACAGAATATATTAAGAATTATAGGGTTGTTCGGAAAGTCATTTCGTTTTTTTTTTGTGAAAATGAAAGACAGTTTTCGTATAATAAACAAATACTTTATTAAATTATATATTGACCGTTCTGGTCCAACACCTTTTGCCATCTTTCTGGTAGTAGCATAATTCCACGCTCATAAAATTTTTGGTCTTTGCTGGCAAAAAACTGATCGAGGAGGTTTTTGACCTCCTCATTTGAGGTGAAGGTTTTACCGTCTAAAAAATTTTGGAGTGACCGGAACAAATAATAATCCGATGGTGCCAGGTCTGGAGAATATGGTGGGTGTAGCATTGTATCCCATTCAAGCTGTAAAAGCTTTTGGCGAGTGACCAAACTTGTGTGAGGTCTCGCGTTGTCTTGGTGAAACACTACACCTTTCCTGTTGATTAGTTCTGACCTTTTCTGTTGAAGTGCATCATTCAGTTTGTCCAGCTGATGACAGTAGACTTCCGAATTAATCGTTGTGTTATCCGGTAAAAGCTCAAAAAAAACGATTCCTTTAAAATCCCACCAAACAGACAGCATCACCTTTTTTTGGTGAATATCGGCTTTGGAAATGGTTTGAGCCGGTTCATCTTTTTTGCTCCATGACCTCTTGCGTTTGACGTTGTTGTATACAACCCATTTTTCGTCCCCAGTGATGATGCGCTTCAAAAACGGATCATTTTCGTGACGTTTGAGAAGCGAATCGCAGACGTCAATGCGGCGACACAGATTTCTCTCTGTGAGAACATGGGGAACCCATACATCGAGCTTCGAGGATAATCCCAGGCCTTTCAAGTGGTCATAAACTGTTGAATTTGATAAATTTAACCTCAATCCGATCTCACGTGTTGTTATTCGCCGGTTCACATCAACTAATGCCTTTATCGCGTCTTTATCAGCTTCAACCGGCCTTCCCGAACGTGGTGCATCTTCGACATCAAAATTGCCGGATCGAAATTTAGCGAACCAGTTCTGGCACTGGCGTACTGTCAACACACCTTCTCCATACACATCAGTCAATTTCTTTCTGGCTTGAACAGCATTTTTACCCTTTCTGTAGTAAAACAGTAAGATATGTCGAAAATGCTGCTTATCGCTCTCCATATTTAAAAGGGCACCAACCAAAAACTACTGCGTAGAATTAATTGGAATTTTTCACACACAAGCCTTGCTATATGAGCTCTCAAAGCATATAAAAATTATACGGCTTAAATGTGAAGCTGGGTGCAAAAGAATACAATTAAATCCTCTGTCGGGAAAAAACGAAATGACTTTCCGAACAACCCAATATTAAGAATTACATTGAAAAGGGTGACGAACGTTGGTGACTGTAACGTCGCACCTTACAATACAAATATTTATACCAATTGTTGCTTCTACATTTTTAAACGTTCATAAAT